GCATTGACAAATCTGAGAACTATTGATTACATTTTTCCATTTCTCTGTTTTGATGTTTGAGGTTATAAATAGGGAGTGGTACTCAAACCCAGAATAAATTAACTATTTTTTTATCTTTGACTAATTGACTTGTGGGAAGGTGATGGCTTCAGAGTTGATTCTCTTGTCAAAGGAGATCTCTCTACTCTATTGGCGCTTGTCTTGGCTATGGGTGAAGCTGAAACTAATTTTTCCTCCTCAGCCTAATCAGCGGATTGTACAAGATACTGCACCGTGGTCTCTGTGTGATTTAGCTAAGTCAGCAGAGTAAAACTGAACAGTTCATCAGTTTCATGCTACACTTGCAACTCCTGCACAAATGCTTTATGTAAGGGTACGTCTAGACTATATGCCTCTGTCTCCAGAGGCATATAGATTAGGCTACCAGACATAGTAAAATGAAGCGGCAATTTAAATAATCGCCGCGTCATTTAAATTTACATGGCTGCCGCGCTGAGCCGACAAACAGCTGATCAGCTGTTTGTCGGCTGCCGCGCTGAGCCGACAAACAGCTGATCAGCTGTTTGTCGGCTGCCGCGCTGAGCCGACAAACAGCTGATCAGCTGTTTGTCGGCTGCCGCGCTGAGCCGACAAACAGCTGATCAGCTGTTTGTCGGCTGCCGCGCTGAGCCGACAAACAGCTGATTAGCTGTTTGTCGGCTCAGCGCGGCAGCCATGTAAATTTAAATGAAGCGGCGATTATTTAAATCGCCGCTTCATTTTACTGTGTCTGGTAGCCTAATCTACATGCCTCTGGAGACAGAGGCATGTAGTCTAGACGTACCCTAAAAGTATCAACCCAGTCACAATCCTCCCTTTCAGGTGTAGGTATCCCTTGATACAATAGATGCCCCACTAAACCCCATTTTCATTGGGCAATCCCTGATTGGAAACAGCTGTTCTGCATCCCACGACCAACAAAACTAAACTGGCAAAGTCCAGAGAGAGACAGAGACTTGTCATTTAGAAGAAAAAATACCCTTAAACCTAAAGGAAGGTGCACTAGGATGCGATTCACTTAGCCACAACTTCTTGTCTTACCTGCGCTATTCACTAATGCTAGGATTGTAAAATGGATAAAAGTTGGAACACTCCTTAGTAGGGAAGGAAAGAGGACAAGTAGAACTTACTTTACTTACCTGATTTTACAGATTGGATGGCAAATGAGATGTTGCACAAAATCATTTCTGGTAGTCGTGGAAAGAAACCAGATCTCTAAGTGAACAATATTTGAGTTTGCCATGCTTAAACAAAAGGCCTTTCGAAGTAAAAGTGACAAATCTATGGTTGCCCTATTTATAGTCACTGCTCTAGTCACTGTATCTCACAGCCCAGGAACTAAACCTAGGCATATTGATTCCCAATATTCTGTTGCTGTCTAGCAAATAATTGTGTAAACTACTGGTGTATTGGCAGGTTCCCCTCTATGATTTGGCCCATATGAAGGATGCCTATTTCTGTTGTCAATTACTCTTTAGCTTAAATTGTAGAGATCTGTGCTATTTATCTCCTGGTTTCAAAAACTGTTGATGACACACGCAGGAAAATACTGCATGTGGCCATGTAATAAAAGGTTACAGTGTATTTGAACAAGGTGTCAGAATTCAGGCTGCTGTTAGGAAATGCTAGAATTAAGATGACTGATTTTGAGTAATTGATTTTGCAAATTTCACATTTTAACATTGTTTTAACATTCAAGACCGTCTCTTAGTCAATGAATTTAGAACATTTACAAAAACAATAGTAATGAAAATGTAATTGAAATAATTTAAATGTTTATATTCATGCATATTTATATACTGCAACTGTTTTTTTCAAAAACAAAGCATTCAGAAAGAAAATACATAATTTTAAATACTTTTTCCATAAATGGAAGTTGTGTTAAATATATAACATCTTCTAAAGCAGTGTTTCTTAAACTGTTCCAGGGCACATTGGTGTGCTGTGGAGAACAGAGTTCAAAATGGCCACCCTTAAAGGAGTAGATGACTTTTTTTCTGTTGCTCAATAACTCTCCCCCCCCCCCCCAACAAAAAAATCCTTGGTGTTCCTCAAAAAGAAAATTGTTTGGTGTTCTTCGGTCTTAAAAAGTTTAAGAAACACTGTTCTAAAGGTACACTGTCTATGAAGTCAGTAGACAATAGCAATGTTTTTTGTCATGCCATATTTCAGAACAAGTTATGGGGTAATCCTAGTGAAAAGGACAAAAAGTCATAGTTATGTTACACTGTATCACTCATCTGTGTAGCCTAATACATATGAAGGTAATCGCCTCTCCCACATGTGTAATGAACGTAAAAAAATTGTGCAATGCTTAGTGTTGAAAGCTCAAGGTAAACTTTTAGGTGAGCCATGGTAAAAATATCAGAAATTAGCGCCATTTTGTGTCATATACTGTATTTTTCAATAGTCCCTGGACCAACTGAATTAATCAAAATAAACTTGTAAACCTAACCTGGCTCTCTTAAATCTCAAATAATTTTATAACTGCGGTGGATGGAGATCTTAGAAATCTTCTCTGTCAATACTATGCTCTAGTCCTTTGCACACAGACATTTTAAAAATAATCTTGTAAAATTAAAGTATGAATATTATGGAATTCATGGTAACTGTCTCAGACACATCCTAAATAACCATTTTTAAATAACTGAAAAAATTAAATAAAATTGGTATACTAAAATACAAGTAATACATGTTTTTAATAGTAAATGCACAGCAATAAAGCACTTAGTCCAATCAGATATTCTGCAGTAATCTACTTTTGTACATTTTTAATGAACTAATTACATATATATGTCTGTCCTGTAAACATGTAGTGCTCCCACTTTATTCATATGATGAATGATGTACCAAATATACTGAAGTGATTTTAGGATTGGAGCTATAGACATTCTGTCTGACCGTAAATGAAACTAAACGATCTAAAATAGAATAACCAAATGTACAGTTGCTCAAGCTGTGTTTTAGAACTCTAAAATAAACACGTTACAAACTTTCGCTATATGGACAGCTGGTCTGAAACTAAGATGTCAAACATGCAAAGAAGAGTTTCTTTTAAGACACAGACATCATTGTTAACCTGCGTGCTGTTACAGACGCTTCCAACTGTGAAAACTTTGGCTCCCTTATGTGTGTGTGTTATTCAACAGTTCAATACAGATGTTGGTGACTGACACAGCTGGGGTTCCTAATAAGGTTGTAATAACGAATTATTCTTCATGTGGTTCTGCATATTCTCTCACCAAATAGTAAAATCTTCTCCAAGCAGTGGCCATTGGAGTGCACTTGTGCCCCTCTTCTATCTCTCCTCAGTCTTTCTCAGCATTTTGAGAATGAGGCTATATTGGGGACACTGTAATGTCTATCGCTTCATTTCCTACCGACCTTTGCACGAGATCAAAGTGAACTGTTTCAGTCTGTTTGAATCTGGGAATTTTCTTTATTGATAGTGCCTTCGGTAATTTATAGTTTTTAGTTGTTC